CATGATATGATCTAGATCAAGCCCTAATTCGTTTCCTCAACTTTCGACGAGTTCATTTTTATGCCATCACCATCAATCACTTTCTTGTCTTAAACATATTCAGACTCAACGAATGGCGGAAGAAACAGATCAAAAATCTGAAGTTGAGATGATGGAACATTCTTGTTAGAAGGTTCTTGTTAGAACAATCTCGGCAAATTCCTCCAGTGTTTATTACAACTCTGTTTTTCTTGAACCGCCCCCCAACCTCTTATGATCAGTTGCTTCCACTTTTTTTCTTTTTTTTTCACAACACGTATTACGAAGATATCTGCTGTAAAGAGATATATCATTGAGAAATGACTGATTTCATGCTTGAATTCAGATTCTCTTCTCATTGTTCTCCATTTGAAGAAGAACTCACGAAAGCTAATGAACATAACATATAACTGATGTAACATATAACGTAAAAATATAACATGTAACTGAATATAACACAAAAAAAATATATAACTGTAAAAATACAACTGAAAACGTAACGGTTGAGGATTTCAATCCCGTCCACAGCCATGTTGGAAGCTTTTTGACAGATACACTGGTTGTAAACCTGGCTGATTTAGATGTTGGTGTTACGATACTTATATCAGAAGAACATTCGTTAATTTTTTTTGATGCTTGACTTTTCTGTTGATGCCTCTCACTAAAATGGCTCTTAGTCGTTCAGTGCCACACACCGCCCAATCGTCCATATTGATGCGTCGTCTATTAGCGGTCCATACTTTTTATGGTTTAGTTGGAGCTGAAGCTACCAAACAAAACTCAGATGTTGTTTCCAGCTACGTGGACTTTACCATTTCCCTATTGCAATTAGCTTTCTAATCTTACCGTGACCAGGATAATTCGAGGAAACAGAAGAAGGTCAATTTTTACATTTCCAAGCTCCACACTCCATTGATTTCAACTGGGAATGCTTCATTATGTAAATTTTCGTTGCTTTGACTGGGTGGGACAATACTCCTTCCAACTTTTTGCATTGCTTAGTCCCATGGAGCAGCAAACAATCTTGTTGCAGGACTAGGAACATGATACTCTTCTCTCCAAAAATATTCATTCGACGCACATATGCATTTTGCTATCATTTTCTCTACTTTTTTAAGTTGTGTCTTTTTTCTTTCTCTTGGTTACTAGTTCAATGCATGACATTGGTTTGGGTTGGTTCCGAAATCAACAATAGCGATGATTAAATATTTGTCACTTAGCTCATTTTTCCTTTTTTCATTCCGTCATCTCATTCATTTATTATGTGGGATTTTTCGCTTTCGCCTAATTTCACACTCCGTAGAGGAATTTGATAACTAAACTGTCGAAAGTGACCTGAAAAATCTTATCCAAATCTGTAAACGGAAACAATAGAGCCTCATTCCTAGTGAAACATTCTTGAATTTGGTTTTTTTCTTTTTTTATTGTCGTATTTTGCATTATGGTATGCACTGACTACGCTTATATTACGCTTATTTATCATTGATGTTTTACTAAACTTGTCCAATTTTGTAGACAAAACACCTTTATTTGTAATATCAGCAGCTTCATCTATTACTGACCACTAAATTATTTCATAAATAAACCAGTTCAAGCCTGATATAAAATTATTATGACCAGGAATGCTTCTCCGTCTGCCTATATTATCCTAAAATTAATTCAATGGAAATAACAACAAACCTTTAAGAATATCTGAGTTTCACCATTGTCCAAGCATTCTGCTTAAGTAATGCAATTACCTGTACTCTTCTGCTAAGCATGAATGGACACGATAGGATCCGAATAAGTGGAGGATGCTAATCAGAACGGAATTAAAAATTAGGCTAGTAATCAACAGCTTGCAAATTAATCAAATGCCTTAAAAAGGCTTCCTCAAATAATTTTTACTGGAATAGAATGTAATAGAAGGGTTAGTAATACTTGATTTACTCAGATACATTTGTCAGTAGTGCATTCCTATTCAAACTGATCCATTTATGCACTGATTGAATACATTCAATACTATGACGTAGTCCTTCTTTCAAATGCTTCAAATGGTTCAACAGTACTTTTCAGACTATAAACTGACTAAGATATAACGTGTCTCACTCCTTCTCTGTGACAAGTTATTGATCATTGATAAGATGAAAAAGGAATGCATGGGAGCGTACCAGTATAAAGAAAAAGTCACCAGTAGGAAGAAATTTTTTGCTTCCGATCAACTTTGATGCCTTAAGTTCATTTTGGGCTTTGCCGTTTCATCCAACTAATTAATCTTGATAGAAATAAATTGAATTTGAAAGGTTCGAACAACAAAATCTGAGCAACTTCATTTTACACATATAATAGAAACCCAATTTTTATTTCACGATTGCTTGCACTTGCTACATTGCTTTAATTTTGCATATATAATTTTGTATGTACATATATTTACTGTTATGGTTACCAAAGCGAAATTTAATTAACTAATTAACTCCACCTTAGCAGATCATACTGACAGTGGGCAGCTGAGTCACTATTTAATAAATTGGATGAAAAGTCGGAAGATAACTTTCAAGACGATAACTTAAGACTTCCTCCCCCCTCTTCCAAAAAGAACATAATTTAATAGATTTACCTCACGATTTTCGATGACTGTTATCTTGCAATCAGATGCAACAGTTCTTCAAATTAAAGTTCAGTGTGTGCATCGAATGTTTTATTGTGAATCAAAATGTACATAATATCTCGACTATTTGGTCAATTATCCCCAGAATGCATATGATATCTGCATTACTAACACTGTTCACTTATTTCAATACTGTGTGTTCCCCGGAATACTGCACTGAAATTATATCAGGTGATGGAAATGCTGGAAGAAAAAAGGTGCGACTGTTGTTTCCTTAGCAGAAACTCGGCAAGGCTTGTGAGAGTATGCTTAGTGAGTGAAAAAATCATGTGTTTTATGAAAATCATTGGATCGATTAAAAATCCTTGCAATTTTGGATTTTGGAACTCATTTCCTTAATAAGCGAGATAAGGTTAAGTGTTAAGCGACATATTGTATTAATCATGGGACAGAGTTTGATTAGTGATAGGATCCCATATAACTGGGAACATTTACAAAATGTAAAATGTAAAATGCTCAAAATAGTATTATAGAATTCTTCTTAATAGAGCATCAAAAATTTCGAAACGTAGCGGTATATCCGATGTAAGGAGATATAGCTCAGCGTGTGCACTCCTCAAGGATTTTTGCGGCCGTACAAGTTCGCATGGTATTCCTTTGATTGGGTATGCTTATCATTGCGTATTGTAAAAAGTGACAAGAAAAATAACAGTGAACTTGATAGAGTCAATGGTGAAGAAAAAAGTCTTGATGACATTTGATTATTGTTTTCAATGCAATTCAAATTTTTTCACTAAAAAACATATGAATACCTGTGATCTACATATAATTAATAATTATGAGCAATTTTTGCAGCTCGCCATCATTTTTTAGCCGTACCGTCTGGATAGCTATCACTTTACTATGTTTCATCTTGTTTCTTTATCAAACATATTGGACGTTATCCGAATTTTTTCAATACAGGACAATAATTGAAATGCAATTGAAATTCGAACCCGGTATGTAAAAATAAATAAGATTATATAAATAAATAAATGAATAAATAAATAAGTAAATGAATAAAAAACAAATAAATAAATAAGTAAATAAATGGATAAA